CCATATTCCCTGTAATCTCTATTAAATAAGAAATACTTTATGGAATTTAGACTTAATCAAGGTCTTCTCAGAAAAATACAAAATATATCTAAAAATAGGCATTGCACGCGTGTTCATGTGCGTAACGACCATATTATCTTGTCTACTCTATCTAAGATTTTAATATACTTAATATCAAAGCATTTAATCCAAAAGTATTAAAAAATACACTAATTCGAATGTATTTTTAATTTTACTCATTTCACGTGCACGTACGTGCATAATGACTACAACTTCTTGTAGGAGTCCCTTATATTTATCTATGTTCTAAATGCCATCCTGTTTAGTTGAAAAACAAGGGAGTTATAGCCATTTAAAGTTTCAGCCAATCAGATTGCAGCACACATGCATGCGCGTGATTTCATAAATTTTTATTTTTATCGTATTGAAGGATATCTAAATGAATGACTATATTTTAAAATTCCAAACATTTCATCAAAAATCAAAGGAGATATAGCCATATAAAGTTTCAGCCAATCAGATTGCAGCACACGTGCATGCGCGTGATTTCATGAATTTTTTTCTATATCATATTTTAGGATATCCTAATGCATGACCATGTTTTAAATTTCAAAGCATTTCGTCAAAAAACAAAGGATGTATAGCCAATTAAACTTTCAGCCAATCAGATTGCAGCACGCGCGCATGCGCATGCTTTCACGAAAGCTTTTATATATCATGCTGTAGATCTTTATAATGTACGACTATGTTCAAAATTTCAAAAGATTATGACAAGAAACAAGAAAGATATTAAGACTTTAGTTTCAGCCAATCAGAGCAAAGCGCACGTGCATGCGCGTGAGATCTTGCCATTTTGACCATGCCATCTTGTCTATACTACTAATGTATCCTTACATTATGAGTTTCAAAAAAATTCTTCAAAAAAAAGAAAAGTTACAGCAATATCCATTATATTGGTCATTTCACGTGTTGCACGTGCGCGCTCTTGCAAGCACGTGCGCGCAAAATGACCTTCGTTCGGCAAATCTACCTAACATGTCTACTGACCCTAAAAACATTTTACCTTAGTCGGATGTATAGTTTACAAGATCACTCGTGGACAAAATTTTCCCAGGAATAATAATAATAATAATAAGAAACAGAGTAAAAACAATATGTTCCCCAACTTCGTTTGGGGAACATAATTAAGGAAAATTAAAAAAAAAATGGATGCATATTAACAATTTACTATATAATTTTGGATTAATATGCTATACACATGTATCATAAAATAAAAATAAGCATAGTATGATATATATCATGTGTATGACTTTAATACTTCTGAATATTAAATAACAATACTTATTAACAACAGTCAACTTGAAATAAATCCAGATGAGTGCCCCAACTAATGTATCTGTACATTTGAAAAAAAAATTTTACCTTGCTTGTTTGGTCTGAGTAGTAAAGTAAGATGAAGAAAGAATAATTTTCATATTTCTTTCATCTAGATCATTGACACCTTTAGAACAGTTATTGTCTTTTCATTCATCCCACCTCTTATTTAGCAGCTTTATGAAGTCTCATTGTTTAGAGTTCATTATCTCACACATTAAACTTTTCAAACTTCAAAATGAAAGAATAGTGATATCAAGGTCTATGAAAATGTCAAAGTAAGAATATAATGGCATAGCTGGAATGCTCATGTATTTCTGAAGTTCAATTAAAAATCTTCAGAAGTGAAATTTAGGCCATTGGAAGGTCAAAGTCACAAGGAAGGTCAAGGTTAGAAATTTGTCAAAGATTTAAATTCCTCAGCATTAACCAATATGTTAAATTGTATAGAGTTTGATTAAAAAGTGAAGTAAAGGTCAAAGGAAAGGTCAAAGTCAGATGGAAAGACAAGATAGAAAGTTGGAAGGAGAAAAGACAGACATTACAAACACTGTATGCCCCATCCATATAAGATGGGGTATTAAAAACTCAATTTGTGCAAAGCACAAGTGCCTCCCCTTCTAATGCCAACACTATATTAATGTCTATCATTAAATACATGCTTTAACGAGACATGCTACAAGCATAGGAACAAGTCCTTAGGAAAACTGATGCATTCATAGACGAAAATGAAACATCAACAATAAAAGAAATGATGCATGTTAAAAAAAAATAAAACAAAAAAAGTAACCCCAGAATTGAGGTTTGGATTTTACGGGCTTACATTACATTTTTTTGGGCATTTTTTACAGGATGAAAAATCATCGTTCCAAAATGAGACATCAGAATGCTGAAATAATTTTCAAAATTAAGTTTGATCTGTGTTTTTATATTATTCTGATATCATTTGTTTTATAAATGTATTGAAGATCAGGAAACAAACAAAAGCATACATTCAGTGCAAAATTCAAACAAAAAAAAAACTACTGGCATTAATTAAGGTATTACTGAAACAAATCCACCAATATTCAGTGATGAGAGTGCTGTATAAGTACTGGTACATAATTCAGTCCGTTAGGGTCGAAATTATTCAAAAAATATAAACAATTTCAGAATTTCTATTGCCTACAGTCACTGTAGTAAAAATGCACCAAATACCCCTATTATTACTCACTCTAAAAACTTGACTGAAATTAGCTCCCTCTACAGAAAAGATAGGAGGTAACTCAATCCCTAAACTAGGCAGGAGCTATCTCTGCAAACTTGACAAGACCTTACTCATTCTACAAACTTAACTGGATTTAGTAACTGTACAAACTTGACTGGACTTACTCTACAAACTTGACTGGACTTTCTCACTCTACAAACTTGATTGAACTAACTCACACTACAAACTTAATAGGAGCTTACTCTCTCTACAAACTTGACAGGAGCTAGCATATGGCACGCCGATTGGTTCAAAAATATTTTCTGCACGACCTTAAACAAAAATTACACGAGTAAGTCAAAACTTACACAAAGTGCGGAAAATACCACGATATAATGAGAAAATTACACAAACGTAAAAACGAAAACTGCACAAGTGAGAATACAACATCGAGATAATATACGACGCATCCCCATTGCGCACATTTCATTAATATTCATTGGAGAACAGCTCAGTGTGGCTTGGATGCTTGAAACGTTATAAAACAAGAGGATAAGTAATGTGTTACCAATATTAATCTTTTAAAAAAGATTCAGTCTTTCAGAATTAAGCTAGACTCTCAAGAATATGCTCAACGTGTTTTATACTTGTAAATGACAGGCACACAATATGCAGATAAACTAACACCCCCGATTAAAATATAGATAACGTTGAAAGGGGTGTATATACACTATATATTATCAGTTGCGTGTATAATTGTTAGATTTTTTGTTTCATTCCTCTATATAGCAATATCTTTTGAAAGTTTAAAACAATGATATTATCATAGTAAAGGTAAATAAATAAAAACAGAGTGAGGTAATACAGGAAAGTTAACAACAAATCAAACTTTTCTCCTCCACAACCCACTGTGTGTACTTTGGTAATAATTAAGGATGTGGAAGCGTGACCTTTTCATATCGAAAGAGTCCTCCTTGCTGGGATGGAATGAAAGACACTTGTACGCTAATCGATTTATAGTTATTTGACACATCAATGATACCTTTTGATTGGAGGTTACTAGCAATTCGTACAGAGATTTTGAAGCAATGTTGCTGTCATCTGGGTTGTGGAATTTGCCCAATGTGAAAAAGTAGTACATGCAGTCTTTAAATTTTGAACAAAGTGTGTGGTGATTACATAAATACATGTAGTAAAATTATACTTATATGAATTTCAACTTAATTTCTGTTTTTCTAGTGTAGATTATTTTGAATAGGTAAAATGCATATTTACATGTATAAAGGAGTTAGACAATTAAAAAAAAATTATAATTTAAAATTATAAATTTTCGAAAGCTATAGAGTGTTTATTTAAATAAAAAACATAACAAAATAATTCTAACTTTTTTTTTTAAAAGGAAATCAAGATCCTAGTCAAACGTTCTGTTTATCGTTAGGTACTTTTAGTTCGGAGTCGAGTTTGCATCATATGAAAAACATAATATTTTCGAAAAACGTATTCTCACATATATAGATCACATGGAAACAATTCATTTGTTCGATTGACATTAGCTAGAAATTGGATCGAGTTTTAGCAAAGAAATAAAGAAGCAAAATAAAGCACATGCCATCGTCAACGCCATTTAATTTCCATTCTCGATTACATCCAGCACAGTATACATGAAGCGATAAAGAGTACAAAAAACCAAGAACACAATGAATATTCTATGTGCATAATAATGATATGCGCAGCTGTATGCGCAGTAAAATTGTTTGTGTAATTTTTAGTTTCCTCTGCTCGTGCAATTTTTGATTTTTGTTTGTGCATATTATACCCCTAAATCGTGCAAAAAATGTCGGGTTCGTGTATTTTTCATATTGTTTGTGCTAAAATCTTTCAAACTATGTGCAATTTTTACCTGTACGTGCATTTTTATTTTACTCGTGTAATTTTTTCATCTAGCTCGTGTATGAAATCTTTATCGTTGTGCAGAAAATATTTTTGAACCAATCGGCGTGCCATACTAGCATACTCTATAAATTAGACAGGAGCATTCACACTCTACAAACTTGACTGAACTATATCACTCTACAAACTTGGCTTAACTTTCTCACACTTCAAACTTGACTGGACTTTCTCACTCTACAATCTTGACTTAAATTTCTCACTCTACAAACTTGATGGACTGACTCACTCAACAAACTTGACAAGAATTTACTCCCTCTACAAACTACAGTATAACACACTTATAGCAAACACACTTCTAATGAATTGATGCTTATAGTGTGAAGTGGCTTTTCATTCCCCATGGCTTTAAACCACATAGTGAACTCCGAGATATACACAATTATGGTTATAAACAAAGTAGAATTGTCAAGCCCCGGGGCTTGGTTTAAAACGTGTTACTGTAGACAGAAACTAACTCAGTGTAACTTGTCATGTTACAGGGAGTACGTACCACTGGAGGCATCTTAGTTATCATCCAACTTAATGGCTTCATCCCACTGTCGTCTGTGATTCTGACATCTGCTTTATAATCCAACAGAAGACTGGCTGTCTCACTCCGATCTGCAACATTTCATAGAATGACAGTTACTCTATTATGTACAGTTTGAGACTGTCTGTCCATTGTGATCTCTTTAGATGAAAGAACTTAGGAATTTTCCATTGTAAAATATATTATCTATTTTATATAGATAAATAACTAATTTTACAAAAATTCTGTACTACATCTTTATTTCTGAACTTACCCAGTTCTGCTGCCACAAACAGAGGGGTCCTGCCCTTGTAATCTCGGACATCATTATATTTGCACTTCAGTTTAATCAACATTTTCAGAGAACTACACGCATCATTTTTGGCAGCATAGTGGACTGGTGTTTGTTTTTCGTTACTAAGTGACTCTCTGTCAGCTGAAAAAAAAAAAAATTTCCATCACTGAGTATGAGACACATGGACCCAAATAGGTGCAGAAACTGTAGCGTTATGGTTTTATTTATTTGTCTTTGACCATAACACTACAGATCCTGTAATGCAAATATTGTACAATTTACGGCACAAGATTGTCTGGACACAGTTGGAGAGAATTAATTTTTCCACGTTCGAGCATTGGTCAACCAGTAAAATTTCTTGTATTGAATTTTCTGCCTATCAACAACTTCACAATAAGCGAATTTATTGGTCTGTAGAGGTGACTATAAAGATAGGTAGATAAAATATACAGGTTAGTTCAGAAATATGTCTGGATTTGGGAAGTGAAAGGTAGTTTGTTAAACAATGCTGGAAAGTGGAGATATTCTCGACAACTGTGCACAGAAAATCTTGCGCCGTAAATTGCACAATTTTTGCACTACAGGATCTGTAGTGTTATGGTCAAAGACAAATGTATAAAACCATAATGCTTCAAAATCTGCAGCTAGGACCCAAAGTAATGCATGAGTAAGTGGATCAGACTCTGAGCCAGAGGTCAGAAATTCTAATGTAATCAACTCTTCAACTTTTATTGTAATCAACTCTTCAACTTCTAATGTAATCAACTCTTCAAATTTTATTGTAATCAACTCTTCAACTTCTAATGTAATCAACTCTTGAGAAAGCATTCATGGAAAGATTCTTATATCATGCATTAAAAAAAAAATCAGAAATGTATCAACAGATGCTTTCTTTTCAATGTATAAACAGGGCATCTCAAAGAAATTTGAACAGAAATAAATGCTACCTTGTTCAGAGAATAAATAAAATGTACTATTTAAAATTCCAAGCAGGTGCCCCAATGAAAACATGAAAAGTATCTTGTTCTTTTATAACAATATGACATTTGTCTGCAGCAAAAGTAATCTGATATCATGAGGGAATTCTTATATGTTAAAAATAACACTGACAGTCTGAACACAAACCTCCATTTTTAATGAGTATTTCTACCATTTCGAAATTAGACCAAACTGATACACAGAATTATGTATCTTAGTGTAGTCTACTTATGTGCCATAATCTACAGCTGCAGCAACATGTAAAGGCGTGCGGCCATATTTATCAGCCTGGTTCACGTTAGCCCCCAGCTCCAACAGAAACTTAGCTACATCAATATGCCAGGTGCGACAGACCTGTCAATACAAAATGATATCCTCATGCCAAAAATCATAGCAATTATCCTCATCAACTTAGAAAACATATCCTGGGAACTCTTAACACATCATATTTGCCTGATTTGGCTGTGTGTTGTGTTAAGTATGGCCTATGTGGAAAGCAGCTTTGCTTAATCAAGTATAAATCATTAATATATATCTAGCACTTTCAGAGAGTGCTAAATCAAATCTTAGCTGACTTGATGAAAATCAGTTTTGGTCAAATATCGCATTTACTATCAAAGTTTATAAATCTAATGCATTACTTAGCAAGTGAGGTACAAGTTTGTTTACTTGACTTCTTTACCTCATGCATTAACGTTTGTCCATGTTTGTCTGAGCAGTTTATGTTAGCCCCATTCTTAATTAAGGAATCGACAAAATCCAGGTCCACTTTGGCATTAGGGTCCCTGGACTGCCCTAACTGATAAAAATAGTCAATCAGTGTTTTATCGTTGGCTGAGCGCAGCTTCTTTTTGGTGTCCTGTTTCATTCCAAAAGGTTTAAAAGCGTCCACCTCTTCCATCTGGTCTATCCCTTTTCCCTTAATGGCTGATGTCTCCTCGTCATCTTGTGTATCTGTAACAGTGAGAGGTTAGAAAATTCATGAAAACCTCTTCTTAGTTCAACCTACAGTGAAGGTTTTGTGCACTGGTTGTTCACATGTCAATTACAAAGTCAGTTCTAAAACTTAGACATGATTATCAAATCCTGGTGGATAGAAATAAATACTTTTACACTATATCAAAGCAAAATTATTGATTAAAGTAAAGAATTTCAATCAATATATGTTACGAAATGAAATATGCAGGTAGAACATGTAATACATGGAGACAATATCCATTGTTACTCAATATCAAATGTGATACTGTGGTAAAATAAAATCTAGGATGACAGAATGATAACGATCTTAAACTCTATGTTGCAGAGAATACTCTTGGGAAATAATAAGAGCAATGATGGACCAATTTTTTTATCTAAAATGTTTTCAGATATCGTGAGGAATTTATGTACTTCATGGAACAATTATTGCCAATTCTTTTCATGAGTGATGTATCTAGCTAAAATCATCCAAGGTTCAAAACTGTTTCATTTAATATATATGTTCAGTAAATTAACTGCAAATAATTGCTTTGTTAATACATGTACCGGTACTACAAGTATATTCGGCTAACTATTACTTCTATTCTTCTGAAATTAAGTTTGCCTTAAAAAGCATTCAATTTAATTATTAAAAAAAAAATTCAAATCAAATTAAAATTAAATTAAAAAAACATCATGTGCAGAAAGAATTTAATATCATGCAGTAACTACATAAATCAACTTTTAAAATGTTGAATTTAAAACATCAACGTTTTATATGCAAATATAGTAATTACATTAATATAAAATGCCCTGAATTGCATCTAAGATCCTAGTCATCATTAGGCCTAGAAAAAAATTATGTTTGTTTCCGCTTTCCCGACCGACCCTAATTTATAGTGCCGACCCTAAATATTTTTTTAATGCTTTTGTCCCATGATGTCCAAGATTTCAACCAGGGAATTATAGCCTCCAACTTTGCATTTTCAAACAGAAAGAAGTTTGGGTCACCTTTCTATTATAAGTTAAGTCAAGTAATGCTTGAAAACACCATTTCTTTTGTCATTAATGTTACTTCTATACACGTTTTGATTAAAGAAGCAAAAAAATTTTTTTCAAAAAAAAAAAAAAATTGCCTACCTACCTACCCTATATTTTTTCAGCCTGAAAGCGGAAACAAACATATTTTTTTTCTAGGCCTTATAAGTTAATAGTATTTCACTTGGTTACATTTTAGAAGTACATGTATATACATGTATATATAACCAAAATCAAAATACAAAACATGTTATGTCAAATCCAGTGCTTTTGAAAGGGGGTACATGTTTCAATAACAACAGAGTAAAACATATGTAATCAGAGATTACAGAGCTCACCTCAATAAATAGTGTCTTTAAGTAAGGCAAAGTTCCACATTAAGCTAAAACCGAGAAGTTTACATCCCAAGATGCAACATTTATGTAAATTTGATCTGATAGGGCTTGCAGTTACTTGGGAAGATACTTATCCAAAAACTTCATACTAGTCACTCATCCAGCAAATTTAATTCAAATCCAGTGTCTAAAGCAAGTTTGAGAGTGTTCATCCCTTGATACATTATCCTTGCAAATTTGGTTAAGATATACCTTATAGTTTCCTGGTAATAGAACTTTAACCTGGTTCATTATCTGGAAAATGTATGCCGGTTCCAGCATCCGAAGCAAGTCCATTAGTGTGCATCCTTACATGTATCATCCATGCAAGTTAAATTTGCTCAACATAGAGCTTACGCCTACTTTAGAATGAACCTGCTCCAAAACTTGAACCTTTTCACTCATCTGAAAAATGTAGGTCATATTCAGCATCCAAAGCATCCAAAGTAAGTCTGGAAGTGAGCATCCTTAGATGTATCAACCATGCAAGTTTAATCAATATAGGGCTCATACTTACTTGGAAATGAGACCTGCACCAAAAACATAAACCTGCATCAAAAACGTTTACCTGTACCTGCTCCTAAAACATTAACCTGGTCATTCCTTAGCTGAAATTGCAGCATCTGAAACCTTGACTGGTAGAATGAAACATACTACATGTAGAAGCATCTTTCATGTCTGATCAATATAGGGCATAGAAGTACTTAAAAAAAAAAACTTGTAACCTGGATGTCAACACAAAAAGTTTCACATAAGCTCCCCCAACTTTGTTGAGGTGAGCTAAAAAGTATCAAAAATCTGAGAGAAGGCACACACTTTGGAATTAGCTTCATAACAAACAATTTCAGAACATGCAAGAAAATACATTGTACATGCATGGATTCAACACATGTGATTGATAATCATATGAAAATGTATACATGCACTTAGTATATGTTATAGCAATGCAAACTACACTGCAACTCTGCTTTTACATAGAGACAACTAGTACAGCTGTTTACCTATGAATGGTTTTGGTTTTTCTTCATCCTCAGTTACTATACAGAACAAATCAAATCAACCATCATAAAAAGCAAGTTAGTATGCTAAGAAATCATGAACCAATGGTAATTTAAATTTTGTTTAACAAACCACAAAATCCATGAGCAGACTGAAAGTTATGGCTGATAATTTACTTTTATCATTCCGGGACCCTCAAAAGAATTCAAATATGCCACTTTACAATACAATACTTATTGTCAATCAAATTATAAATAATATGAAATATCTTTAAGTTATACTTATTTTCATAAGTGAGTAGTACCTGATTGTTTGTTGTATATAGCAATAATTACTCCCTTGAGAATCCATTTCTGGTATTTGTTATGAAAAAGTAAACCAAAAATTACATAAAGTTAATATACCCCCCCCCCAAAAAAAAAAACTAACATGAAACCTCATATATTAGTGTTTATTTCACTGCATTATGACCACAGCACTTTCCTTTCCCCAGTGTAGATTGTGAAAGTTTGTCTCACACTTTCAGTAACTAAAGCCACACTAACACAAACTGCTTTATTTACAGTAAACCTCACCTAAAACGTGCAATATATGCCGATTCAAATACCTCAACTCTATCATAAAATTAAAGGAATAAGTAATGGTGTGCATAAATTCTGTTGAAGAATAAGTACCATGTTAAGGGTAACTTTGGTGTCAGGAATATCTGGGGAGTTTGTTTATAATACATGTACTCTATATAATAACTGTATAACTATACCAGCTATATTTGTTTTTTTTGTTTTTTGTTTGTAAATAAATCTGAACCCCTCCCTCCCCCCCCCCCATACCAAAATTATTGGATGTACTGTAGGCTGCTTTAAAATACATGTATGTCATGAAAATTTTTCATAGCTAACTGCATTGGTAATTTTAAGAGTGATATACATGTATGAACTACAACTATAGTTTTAGTGAAAGATAAACACATGCACCCTAATGCTGCTACATTGTACTATATACAAATACAACATAAGGAAATTAAAGCATACTTCTCATACAAGAAGTTAAACAAAAACATGCTGCATATATTTGTGTTTGTATGTACATGTTTACATCTACACATATTTAACAAGATCATACTTAAATGTGCTTTTGTAAAATCCAAAAAGAGAGTTGAAAATTCAAAGTTAAAACACTAAATACTGTACAAGTATTAATCCAAAAGAAATGTCTAAAAATTTAGTGAAACAGGATGAAATATACAAGTTATGAACATTTTAGCATGATCTTATACATGTACATATGTGTATTGTTTTCTATATCTGTAGTCATTGAATGTACATCTTACCATTCTTCTCTGTAGAAGAAATTTATTCCAGTATTCATTGGATCAAAAAGAAGGAAAAAGTTAATAAGGGAAATATTAGCACTTCCATCAAGTATACTAATTTATTCAAATACATAGAAATGCATGCAGGTCTTTTAAATTAAAACTTTGAAGGATAAACTCTATATTTAATCAAACTACCTAACAATAAGTATCTAAACCTACTGAAATATGTGTTACACTGATAGAACCAGTGGGATACAAAATAATAAGCTAGAGTTAAATAGGTTAATCATATAAGATATATTAATTTAGGTACAAGTTGGCTTGTAAATACTTTTAATTTGTTTTAAAACAAGTTTATTATCAAAAGTGGATATAAATTAACTGTAAAGAATACATACTTTTGGACTTAATGACCCGCTTCATAGATGCATAATGCTTCCATTTCGAGGCCATGCCTTTGGCACCAACAATGGCAGACAAAGCATTTTGCTTGTTTGAAGTCTCCATCACTTTGTTCTTTAATGTGTTTATAAGTTTACTGAAAGTAAAAATAAAAAGAAAATTTCATTATAATTACAAAGAGCAGCATATTCACATTCTGTTGTTGAGACTGCAAGCTAGATACAGTCACTAACGCAGTAAAACAGAGATAAACTGAAAAAATTTAGCATCATAATTCATTGTAACCAGCTATCCTTACATGTAAGTGACCAAATAAAATGAATATTTACTTATTATATTTTGAGGAATTGTTCGACTCTGTGAATCTAATGTGTTAAATAAACATGATGCATAGCCACACACACTGACAGAACAATTAAGTTGACCTGAACTGCAAGAACCAGAAAACATTTTATTTATATTTCTATCTAAACATACATGTATATTTCCTTTAGATATAACCTGTATATTTTTGAAATATATATGAAAATATAAATGTAGTTGTTCTAAATCAAATAAGTCTCAATTTACATCTACTCTACACAAAAATAAACATGTGACGCATATGTGCATTCACTCTCAATGGTGAATAAGAAAATCACATGGGTTTTATCAGCTGCAAGAAAGTTTACCTATTATTCTGAATATCAGATCGTATGTCTAGTTCAAATGAGCTGTTCTCCTCTCCCGTAGGAGCTACCTTTCCTTTCCGCTTCTTTTTGTTATCCATCTTAAAGAATTGATTAAATTCGTCTTATATCTTCATAGCTGAAAGACAAAAAATGAAAATGTGGTTATAAATTGCAATTAACATTAAAGTGAGCATTAAAACTGCAATTAACATTAAAGAATGCTGCTTATTCTGTCTTTCCCATTATATATAGGGTCAATATATGTCAAGTCCAGTACAATCACTACTTGAATTACTAATGTAGCGTTATTTATTTAGTTACTTGAGGTAGCTTGGTTAATAGCTAATCTAATGAATATTTTCACAAATGTACATACAAATTTAAATAAGAAGTTTAAACAAAAATTTGCAGGTGTGTGACTTAAACTATATCTGTATGATGGACTTTGAAAAAAGGCAGTCATGGACAGAGATTAGTTAATCAAACACTGAAGTTTTTTGAACAATTTTAAGCCAGGGATGCATTTCCAATGTAACCTCAGGGTAACTGCACCACCTTTGTGCAGCTAGACAATGGAAAAGTGTCCTATATCAAATTGTGCTGAAATATTACCAGTCATTCCGTTATCTTCCTTTTATTCTTAGTGACTAGAACTTGTCTTCTGTGTTATTCAATCCAGAAGCAACTGCATATTAATACTTGTTTCAAAAAACGATGATAGTCCCTGACAGAGGAAACTGGCACAGTGTTATCAGTGTTATGCTTGTTTTCGAAATAAGTGTGGTTTAGTATGATAAAAAAGTCTTCTCTGAATAACCATATAAGTCTGTATGCGTAATTTAAATGAAGTAATAGTATCGGACCCCTACAGCTGCCGTAAGTTACTCATTAGAGGAAACGCGGTCTGTGTTTGTGTAACCCTCAAATTAGGTTGATGCAAAATATTTTATGTAATAAAATTTGTAACTTAATTAATTCATTTAAAGAGAAATCATAACTAATTAGGCATGAGTATAAAAGCAGAGACATATAAAACCCTGATACAAGTACCTGTTGGAAGAATATCAGTTAAACTGTCATATGCCCGTCGCCATTGATGTTTACGTTGTAGTCGGTGACAACGATTTCCCGCGTTTTTTGTATAGTAGTAGGGGTGGAAATGAGATGCAAATTCCGAAAAAGTCTCAAACAATCAATGTTTTATTCCTTAGGGCTTACTTAGAAGAATATACATCTATATAAAAAATTAATAAGTGAGAAAGTTGTTTGTACAGTTTAGAAAAAAGTATAATTTTTTAATCTTCTAGACAATTTTAAAATCGCGGCAACGAAATGAAATTTTAGACATGATAAAAATTAAATAAAATTCCTTTCATAAATTTATTAAGTACAACCGAGAATATGTTCGAAATTAGGCCTACAGAGGCAACTTGCATCACAGGTACTTGTGGACAGGACCCCCACCCCACCCCAATATACTTCCCTGGTCAAATATTTCTTGAATATTTTTCTCATGAATTATGTTTCTAGTACTTATTTACAATGTATTCCATATGAAAAAATCCTTAAAAAAATAACAGATTTAACGATTTACAACAAAAAAAGTCATACCCTGGTATTATAAAATGGAGAATCTTCTTTTGACCAGGGATGTATATGGGGGTGGTGGTGGTGGGGGGGGGGGGGTCCTGTCCACAAGTACCAGTGCTTACAAATTATAAATAAGAATGCTACATAGATGTATGTATCGTTTTTGAAAGGGAACAACTACGGGAAAATTTGAATCGCTTGAAATTTGATAAAGAAAGAAAAATAAATCCCCGAAATAAGTTGGGTAGTGGAGGGTACATGTATATTATTTTTTATCAGAACCGAAATTTCTTCATAAAATACTATCTAATCAGTGGCGGATTTAAGGGGGGGGCGCACCCGGCGCCCCCCCCCCCCCCGCCCCCCTCCTCCCCTTAAATTTTCAAAATTAACGTAAATCACAGTTTCGTCTAGAAAATGTAAATATGTATACTTGGTAGTTGGTAGACCTCATTTTTACCCTACAAAATCTCTAGAATCCAGGAGCTTCCGGGGGCTTCGCCCTCCCCGGCCCCCACCAGGGATTTGCCCTGGACCCATTGGGGGCCTCAAGGCGGCCCCCAGACCCCTTGCCTACTTTTGGCGCCCCCTCTAACTTCAATTCCTGGGTCCGCGCCTGCTTATACGAGGGCTGTGGAATAAATAATGTCCTCGGTGCTCGGAAAGAGTCAAAAGACGCTTTTCAAATGATTTAGTCTTAATGATTTAACTTAAATATTCTTTTTTAAATAAAACACATGTCCGTAACATTTTAATCCAATTTCTGATTAATTTTAGATTCTCATTTCCTTCGTATAATGGAATATGGCAGATCCACAGGCGCTTGTTTCATACACTACGCTAGTTTTGTACTTTATAATAACACTCCAAAGATAGTGGCCAAGGGACATAATTTTTGAAAAGTGTGGGTTCAACTATTTCAGTGGAAACTATTCTCTAACGATGAACTGATTACTCCCCCTTTGTATCAAGAGATGGAATAGGGATGATTTACTATTTAGCTTTTGTATTAAAATTATTAAATAATTACCATTGAACTGTTCTTTGTATAAGATTTTAATGGTTGTAAAATGTAGGCGAGAATCGAGAGTTAGCGTGTGTAGTTCTTTGATACTTTTCATACATATAAGGACAGAGGATACAAATAAACTCGATGTCTTGATATATATTTTTAAATGATCCAATTTTCTTTTTTTTTTTTACTTAAATTGAATGTTTTTAAACTTTCTGATTTCTAAAATATGTTTGGCTAAAGATAGATTAGTTTTATATTTTCCCGCCACAGCCAGACGAACTCTTTCGTGAGAGGAGGTAAACAGGAAGGTGACATATCACCATTTTGCAACAGATGTATCTGGACATAAAGCGTATTTGCCTGGAAAAGCGTGAAATTCGCCGCGAATCCTACCAAATATGGCCGAGGAACACTTAAATTTCTCACCGTCTTTTCATTCCTTCAATATTTTCTCATTTGGATCTACGGTATACAGATAAAGGACAATGGTTTGCAAGGAAAGCGGATTGAATGCATAAGGATCAGAGATCAATTATGGTGACAGAGACGGAAGGATGCTAAAAACAACACAAACTTTTTGACCCCATCCAGGATCAACAGTCGTTAATGCATAAATAGATCTCATATTTCTCCCTTTTAACTTTTGAAGTCGAAATGTAGTTATATAAAGAGACTAAAATATTGCTCGCTTTGGAAGGAAAGGATCGAAATTTTACTCTGAAAATCAATTCTAGACTTATTGATACCATAGATAATGTAGAAAGTATCACCTACCAAAATGGGCGATCCACACAACAGAAAAAATTCAGCCGTCAACCGTTTGCGAAATCAGCTGAAGAAAAAGAGAGAGTCTCTTGCAGACCAGTTTGAGTTCAAAATGTACATTATTTTTCACTTCAAAGAAAAGGTAAACCAACAAAAAAGGTGTCATATGCTATCTTTAAGAAAAATATATTACAGTACACTGTATAAAAGTAGTAATGTCAGTTAGATTTTTAAGTCTAAAAAAGTAAACTTGGACTGATTGTTGCTATCAAAAAAGGCTGAAACAAATTCCCTGCATGCTTCACTTTTTCACTTTTAGACATTTTTTTAATATTCCCAAATACTTTAAAAAACTTTTATTTTTTTTTACCTTTAAATAGGTTTAAATCCAACAAAATCAAGCAGCTCTTCTTTTTCATAGCACTGACATATTCATTTAAGGGCCCTCCACACACATACAGCTTATGTTAGCATTACTTTTAACAAGCATATCAACTAGAGTTGGGTATTGCGAAGGAAATCCATATTGCGATATATTGCAATATTTTACTTTGAATATTGCAATATATTGCAATATATTGTAATTTATTATCATTAATTTTTAAAATAATAAATTTCACAGTTTCAAAGACTATTTGAATTTATCTTTAAGTTTAAAAGCGTTGTCATTGATTGCACACCAAAAATTAACACTTTACTTTTAATCAAATTCCAGGTAAAATAGTATAACAAGATTCTCTTATTTTCACATTGAAATAAAAATAAAAATATATAATTTTTCATTGAATTCTTTTTTTTTTTTTTGGGGGGGGGGGGTTAATGAAGTTATTTTATTAAAGAAAAACAATATACATTTAATTTAATTTTAAAAAAATAAAATTTAAAAAATCAGAAAGAAATTTCTCTCAAATACATCTAGAGAAATTTCACATCAAGGACAATCAGGAAATGGCCTGTTTTAATATATACCTGCTCCTGCTATAGCATAAGGTGTTTAAAATGGCATGAAAGTTATTAAAAATAATTAAAACAACACAAAAAACATTGAATTAAATATGTACATGTATATTGAACACATTTCAATGTAGAAAAATATTTTCAAAATCATTGGTATCAAAAAATGTTTTATATATTTTCCTTTAAATTTTATTTTAAAGTCTTATTAATTAGTAATTTTATTTCAAAGTAAGATATTCAAAACTGCAACAGTGAATTAAAAGCTTCCACCCCCTCTCTCTCCTCTCTCTTTCTCTCTCCCGCAATAGTTCTTTCACTGAGAAACACTAAACTAGACAGAGATACAGTCATGTAAAAGAGGAAAACTAGAAACGCACACTATTTTATAAATATTTATAAACACAATGAGATGATGTCTTATTGAAATGCACAAATTAGTGTGCAAAAAATTTCAACTTTCAACACAGACTGTTGACGATAATCATGTCAGTGGGTTGAGTAGCCGGAAAGTATAAATAACCTAAAAGTTCCCGTCATACCAGCATTCCTTGTTTAGGAATTATTATGTAACATAAACCCAGTCATTTGTCTGTCTTTTACAGAAAAAACGGACATCTTTTTCTATCGGTCACTCCGTGACCATGCCACGTGTTCATTGTTATGAGTGTCCTACTTTCTCTTTCGAAGACTCTCTTACAAGCGGTTTCCAGGCAATTCGCCGATGTAAAATCTAAGTAAAACCGGAAGTAAAAGTATTTTTTCTCTATATACGTCACAAGTCACATGGTGTGGAGGACCCTTAAACCCCTAACCCTGCATGAAGCTATTTTATGTTAAATGGTGGGTCACTCAGTCTATCTACACAACAGTATCCTTGAATTAGGGGGCTGTGTAGTCCCTTTGATAATAAAATTGGAACAATTTTTGTATCAGTCTGTATGAAAGACATTGGACCATCGAACCTTACCGATATACAGTGCCTCTGATCTGACGCATCATTTTTACACCAGACAGAAATGTTCGATGTCTGTGTCTTTTTTTAACTTTACTATTTTGACACAGTGTCATTTAAATGTTTGTTAATGAGCCTTTTGTTCTGATACAGATTGTAAAACTTTTAAATTCATGCATTGATTATCTCTTTTCTGTTCTGTAACATTTTGTTGCTTTCTTTTTAGAAAAAGAGAGCTGCCCTATTTGAAGTTTCAGATGTAGTTCCAGTAATGACAAACAATTATGAGGATTGTATTCTAAAAGGTGTCAAGGTACGTAAATGTCAGCTAAATTTTCCAAAATTAGAGTATATTGTGCATCTGTTATGTTTTTTTTTCCTTCAGGAAGTCATGCAGTGTTTCAATCAGACTTTAATGTTTTTAGTAGTTTTTCAATGAGTAAACATTTGCTCTGTGAACCATTGAACACTGAAAGGAATTGATACTTCATAGCCATTAACACGAATGTTGCATTGTGAGAAGAACTTTGAGTTTGGAATTTAAGAAATCTGAAATAACTTTTTACTGGTTGATGTGTCTGCTTTTTCTTTCAGGATCAAGCTTATTCTTTAGAAAGTTCTCAGGAACTGTTAGAAAAAGATATCGTTCAGCTCCATGCTCCTCGTTGGCATCCATTAAGACGCGTAAGTATTAATTGAACTTCCCCTTTTCACTTGATTTATATCTAACCCCAGCCCTAACACCTTCAGCCTAACCCTAACCATAGTTTAATGCTAACCCTAACTCAATACCAACCCAGTAGCTAAACTTAATTCCAAGGCTAACCTAATCTAACACTAACATTCTTTATTGATGCTTAAATATTGAATATTTTAATTCATGTGATGTGTGATGAAACATATTGAACTTCCTGTGATCTTGAGATGTGTAAATCATAGAGTTGTCTTTCAATAATTGTGCAAATCAAATACAGTAAAACTCATCTTATATATATAACAAATTTATATATATTGCATTTTTTTGTAATATCTGTGCATCATGTTGTGTTTTTTATTAATCATTGATTCAAAAGACTTGATTTCTGAATAAAATATTATCTTGAATATTTTAGGTATACTTTTTAAAATCATTAATTGACCCTAAGTATTAATATGATTTTCTGCATATGACAATTTGATAATGATTATTAAAAGTTCTGTAATAAGACTGTCTTAATTTGTTTTTATCCAGGATATTCTTGGTTGTACTACAGATGTAGATTTTCTTTTGTGGCCAAGAAATGACATTGAGAAAATAGAAGGGAGATTGTTTTCTAGATGGAAAGGAGAGGATATGCCTTTCAAGCCTGTCATGGTAAAAAAGGAATACTTTATAAATTCGTCTTTTATTCTGTATTTTGTTTATGAAAATTATTTTTTTTTTACCTTGTGGAATATGAGACTTAGAAGATACCCCATGTATGTCAAGAGAGTCTTAACCAATTTATTCAAAGAAATTCAACCAATTGATTTGATTTGAGGACTTGGACATCAAAGTTGTGTTTATTTCATATATTTTAGAAATGCCTATACATTCAAATTTTTATATTTTATAGGACATTCATCTTTATTCTAACAAAGTGATATGAAATATCACTGAATGTATTTTACAAATTTAAAAGAAGACATAAATAATATTTGTAGGAAGATTTTTTATCTGATGTTTTTTTTTTTTTTTTTTGAAGGAAGATTTTGTTTACACTCAGGAGGACTATGATAAACAGCTTGCTCGTTTGGTCAATAAGAAGGAGAGATCGGCTCTGATCATCAATGACCCTAAACAGTCCATGTTCTTGTTTCTGGATAAGCACCATATCCAGGTTCAGTTTTAACTCTGTATACTGGTATAGTCAAAGAAATTAAAAAAAAAGGTTCTTTAGGCTCATTGTTAAAATCTAGTCAAATATGAATATTTTTTGTTTAAATTTTTTTTAATTTTTTAAGTTTTGCCGACATTTCTCTCTACTGCCTTAATAAAATTAAGATCAGCAGATCATAATTTCTTTAAATAAAGATTATAATGGATCAATATATAAAGCATTTGTGTTAAGTATTATCTACACATATTTTGCACTGTCAAATATGTAATCATGTCACTGGAACAACCTCTGTTAATGAATCATGGACAGATGGTAAAATTGAATTTATATTTTAGACCACCACAAACAAGATGACTGTATTTAAGCTGTCCAGTGTCTGTCTGTATCTCCCACAGGTAAGTTCTGTACTTTGCTGTAGCACAATAAAGGCACATAATTTTTTTAAAACCCTGAATAGATGAACAGATGGTAAAATACCCCCTGGTAAATGTCAAGATTTCAGTAATTAAGAAAAATTGACAAGGAACGTTGATAAATTTTATGTAACTTTTGACACTGTTTTTAGCATTTGACTAGAACTTTTGCACTTATGTTTCATTTATTCACTATTGCTGGACCATAGCCCCAATTACTGATAGTTGATAAATCCAGGTGAATGACATAAACTTCCCTTCTGTAAATGTGAAAACTCTTACCAACAAAGGAAATTTATTATTAAAGTAGCACTCACTCTGGCCAGGGGACATAAGTTTAAAATATATACTGTTGCTATGCAGCCTATCAAGATAAAAGAGGACAACTTTGTATCATTGAGTTTTACCTAACTGATATATTTGTTTTGTTTAGAATCAGCTGACATTGTGGGGTGCTGGTACCATCAGCGACTTCTTGTCCACACATCTCATGTGATGTCAAACAGCTGTAACACTTGGAGCTCCTACTATAAAAATTTGATAAGGATTTGGACAGTTTGTTAATTTTACCTGCCGGTTACATTTTTATTTTGCATTCCATTTCTTTGCAAGGAACACATTTGCTCAGCAAAGCAGATCATTCATTGTATACAAATTTACAGAGAGTTTTGGTTGAGTTTTTAGGTAAACAGTGCCCATAGCCTAAGTGAGCTTTTCTGATCAAAGTTGTTTAGCATATATCTATGCTCCCACATTCATTTGTACTTTGGAGACAACTGGGTTTGTTTCAACCTGCTGTAAAGCAAGTGTGTATTAAGGTATACGACCCATATTAGGACCAAAATTTCTAACCTTAAATATCAATTGTTTGTAAAATATCCTTATATTATTTTAAAGCATTTTAGAGTAGAAAGGGATTTACCAATAGAAATTTTCAAAAATTTTATTGCCTAAGCAGAAATAAATTATTGAAGATTGCATTGAAGTCTATGGAAAGAAGTAAGTTTTTTAAAATAAAAAAATTATTACTTCAATATATATCTGTGGTGAAAAGATGCATTTGATCAAGGTAGAATAAACTCAAAGGGAGATACCTGGGACATGTCCCATTTTGCACTGAGTATTCAGTCCATACATATCTATTATGCATTCAATTCCATTGAATCGGGGGCTAATATGGATCGGATACCTTAAGGTTGAGTGAAGGGAATTCAAAATTGTTCAAATGCAATGGGATGCTGTCATTAAAAATAATAATAAAACTAAATTGAATTGCAAATATCTCAAATAATCTTCAGATATATATCTGTTCAAGGTAGAAGACCTGGATTTTGGTCATGAGTTTTAAAATTAGCCTTACCTCATGTTCATAAAGGGGTGTGTACGAAAGTACTTTTTTCTGCATAGTATTAATTAATGCTAAAGAAGAGGTCGTAATATTTTACAATAATTTTGGCCCAGTGAACTTGAAGGCAGATAGAAACAGTATAAACAATCAACAGAATTTTTCCTTTTTATGAATTGTGCAGAAATTGTGATCCCACAAAATTATGAGCCTGTGGGGAAAAGTATATTACAGTTACTGTAAATGTATTACATTTGGCTGTATATTCTATTTAGCACTTTTGTCAGACAAAAACTTCCACTAATTTAAGTAAAACGCTAAATGTCTAGCACAAATAGACATAAATAAGAACATTGAGAAATGCACCAAGTCAGATCTTCGCTAATACAATTACAGTATATGGACTCGGGTTAGTGTTGTGTCCTGTGACCTTTTTAACTATTTTTTTGGTCTATTTTTGTTTAGAATTTCTTAAATGCAGTCATACTATTAATTCTTATTTCAATCTAAATCATTTATGGTTGGTACCACAAAAGAGTGCATATTCATTCTCAGTGGATTTTTGTTTTACAAAAAAGGATTGTTTAAGTTGATATGATTACCGGTAAAGTTTTTAAGAATCATACTATGTTTAAATCATTTATTTTTTCTGTTTTACAATGAGAAATATTTGAAATCAGCTTTTAATTTGCAGATTTAGCCTTGAATACCTTTTTGTTTGATTTACCTTCTATTATTTAAACATTTTTTTGTAAGTTTTGATTAATACATGTTTATTTACTAAGGTTTTCTTTTCAAGTTAAAACTTAAATGTGAAATTTATTTGAGCAATTTATGGAAAAAAATGTTTAAAAAAGCATTTTCTTCTGTATTTTTGGCAAAGGATAAATTTGTTAGCATACTCAATAAGCCAGCACATTTCCATGCCTCAATATTAAAAAGTTTAAATTAATGATTGGATTTTAGGGTATTATTGCATTGTATGCAAAAACATGCCCGGTGGTGCATCAGTAATTCTATCTGTCAAATGAAAATTTATCACAGATATTAAAATGCAAATACTGCAGCCAGAGTGCTGATTATATGCAAATCATTTTCTGGTGTATACAGTAAGATCCAATTTAATATGGCAGTAAAAATTTCAAAGAAATTACATGAAAATAATTTCAACATGAATTAAAAGTTTAACATTTTATATAACTTGGATGTAGTTTTTTGCTATCTTTGCTCAGTTATTTGGAGAGAAAAAATTGAGCCAAGTTTCTAAACTATGGCATAATCTTCTTAAAATAATATATGACAACATGACATGTTCATTTATTTACAACTGTTAATTTTTGATATTGTTTAGTATTTTTAAAGACTACTCAAAATACCCCAAAAAGCAAAATAATATGTATGTCCTCTTTCCTCTTTAGTCTGACTGACAAGGACTGTCAAGAACACAGTTAAGCTCCTTTAAATCAGAATATAGCAAAATAATATGTATGTCCTATTTCCTCTTTAGTCTGACTGACAAGGACTGTCAAGAACACAGTTAAGCTCCTTTAAATCAGAATATAATAAGGGCTGTAATACATGTAGATGAACATTAAAAACAGGAAAGAAAGAAGTTGCATTTGCCAAGTCTAATTCTTTGAATTTCCTCAATATTTTAAAGAATTTTATGGTTTAAAGAACAACATATGCCGGAAATGCAATAATGTATAAAGGCTATTGTTTTATGAAAAAAGGGTATATACATGTAAATGTATAATACGTTTAATGTTTTAAAGGTGAAAAAAAAGAGAAAAGTTCGGAAATAAATGAAGTCGTGTTATTGATGATATGCTAGATTTTCTCCTATGATGTGCTTTTTCCATTCTATTAAATTTGAAAGCATATAGATCATCTGATTTGAAAGTCATCACTATGAAGTGTTTACTATGGTTTTCTAATTTTGAAACTATAAAAATGCAAAAGAAAGACTACTGCAGACAGTACATGTTGTATTTAACTAGACAATGGATTAGACACTGGACAAGGAGAAACTTCCTGTAGCAAGGGAATTTGTATTATTTTTCAATAGATGTAAAATTTGTCATGATTGTGATTGTTCAATACAGTCATTAAGTTTGTTTATTTTATTTTATGTTTTTTTCCCTTCAAAACTTGCAGGTAATAAAAAAAATCAGTATGACTTATTTTGTTATTTGTTTGGTGGTCAGGCCAGTTTGGTTACCGCGGTGACCAGCTTAGAAAGCTCAGTAAGTAGAGCACCTGACTAATGATTCCACAACAAATCCAGGTCTGTTCCTTCTCATTGTTTATCTTCATCAGTTATGCTTGATGCTTTGTCCCATCGTCACATGCCACGGGTTTTGTGTCCAATCTGGGGGAATAGAATGGATGCAAAACCCATGGATTACAAAATGGATTTGTCCATGCCTTAAAAATGACTGGTATAAACCTGTCAGGGAAGAGACTGGGTTCTTGTCTTTGAGGGTGAAGTACTTTTAAGCTGAGAGAAATGTGGCCAGGCAGGTTTGATATCCTGTGGCCATATGGCAAGAACAAATTGAGGTGTCATGATGAACTAAAATGACATTCTAAGAATAAAAGTAATGTTTACCAGATGTTTTTTGATATTTATTTGGGTGTTAGCATTGTTTATTTTAAAAATTCAATTTACAAAACTACAGGACTTGCATTTGTAAAATTGTTGAAAAAAAATGTAATGTGTCATTTGTTTTATTAATTATTACTATACAGTATAACAAAAGTAATGAAATGATTTAGCGATAAACCCAAGAAACAAACAGTTGGTACATCTGTAGAAAACTGAAATGCAGCTAAAAGATATATAATGCAAACAATTAATATTTGAATTTTAGAAGAAAAAAAATATATATGGGATAGAAATTCGGGCGAATGTCAACTAGTGTAGCAAATACAATAACAAGGTCTCGTACGGCAAAGAGATGAGACTTAAGCCGTCTCATCATTATCTTAACAATTTAAAGTTCCTGATGTTATTAATTTCTTATCTAATGAGAATCTCTATGCCATTTGGCAGACGCTGATTAAATGCCACGCCGTACAGAAAGTCCAAGGTTAACTGAGAATTGTACTATAATTTCTAACAAACAACGTTTATGTTACTGTGAAAAAAAATCCAATATCATGTTGATTCTTAAAATATTTTAAACTATAATAAATCTAATATGTAAATAAATATTTTATGTTTGAATTTTATTCATTTGCTAATGGTGGAGACTAGAAATATATACAACTGTACAAAAATAAACAAATGTATACTAGTATCTAGATGTACTTGATGCTAAATCTGCAACATATTTCGAATTAATACAACTAGAAATAACAAAAGAGCATGATAGTAGAGGCCAACACACATCAATGGTGCTGAGCTTGTCGACTGAAGAATAACAGGGACCGTTTTTGAGAAAAAATGAATTTCATCTCCTCTGTAATTCACTCCAACAGTCATGTTGTTTTTATTCAACTGCAAAAACTTTCTGTCAGTTGTATCAAACTGCGGCCAATCTTCAACAACAGACTCCGCACCATTAGGGTTCCTAGGAAAAAAAATGATGTTATTAATTAAATGTCAATCACGTACCCAAACTCATCCTCACACACCAATAGAGATCGAGAGGGAGAGAGAGAGACTTACCCAAATTTTGCAAAATTTGTCCACTGGACACGCAAGTTATTTGCAAGCTGATGATCATCTAGATTAACAATTAAATGGGGATAAATCATTTGTAAGAACTCTAAAAAGAAAAGATAGATAAGTTCCGTTGCATGACCTGCACCTTCGAACCACGGCGGAAATACTGTTGCATCAAAGAATACCGGGAGGCTCCACTCGGAAAACACGTATTGATAAGTTTTGGATGAATTATTATTTTTGGCATGAACAGCCAGAGTTTCCATCGCTGGAGAAAGAAAGAAAATGTCTCCATACATTTTGACAGCCTGGCGACTGTTCTCAGCTTGGTCATTTGGCCTTCCATACATTTTGCACAAAGCGTCTGAAACTCTGGAATTTCCTTTGTAGTAATCATTAACAAGACTTGGGATGAACACATCACAAAAGAATTGAAAAGGCAGTCCGCCATCCGAAATATTAAATCCATATTCCTTTTGAACTTTCTCACTTAATCTTATAACAAGTGAACCATCGCTATCAGTAGTGCCAATCATAACGTCCAAGGAACGAAAGAATTTTAGTTCTTCAGAATCATTGTCGGTCAAAATGTTCTTAATGGACCTTTTGAATAACTCGCCATCAATAACTGGACCAATCGGAAGCCGAGTCGAAACTGTTCTAGAGATAATGTTTGCTGTAACATTTATAATGGATGATGTGTTAATTTGACGCATACAATGTAACGAAGCTGTAGTATTCAGTTCGTCATAAGGGCAACCTAGCTGGTCGCATATTGCTCTGTGTGATTCACGAGGACGAAATGCAAATAAAGAGTTTGCAACGCCACTCTGCATTATCGCTCGCTTGAACAGACCCTTGTTACTCGGAATTAGTGATAGTTGTGATACACTCATGCCACCAGCGGACTCTCCAAATATCGTCACCTCATTCGGATTACCACCGTAGTCTTTTATATTGTCCTTTACCCAACGAAGAGACAAGATTTGATCCCATATGCCATAGTTTCCTTTCCCTAAATCATCACCAAAAGATAGGAACCCTTCTAATCCCAGTCGATAGTTTACGGACACCACCACTACGTTACCAGTGGTTGCTAGAGCAGAACCGTCGTATTGTATCGCTCCGCCCGCCACATAACCCCCACCGTGAATCCACACCATGACAGGAACCTGGTCTTCAATATTGACAGGAGTGTATATATTGAGTATAAGACAATCTTCATCCATTTGTAATCCTAGCGTATCCAACTCCTTAGTTCTTGGTTGTGGACACAAAGGTGAAGGATTCGTTCCATCTCTATTTCCACTCCATTTCCCAAAGGGTTCCGGTTTGGCAAACTTGCGAATTCCAACAGGGGATTTTCCATATGGAATGTTGTAGAAAATCGTGGCATTTCTGAAGTCTATGAATCCGGTTATATTTCCAAGACTTGTTTGCAGAGTGACCTCTTGCCTACTTTGAGCTTGTACTGAATTTGATAGACAGACCGCTGCTATCAGAACTGAAACCACCGCCAGCCTGGTCTGAAAGATGACAGATATACATGTATTATCGTTTTACTAACAGCGTGACAGTTTGCTTGATAGGGCGTACTAAAATTTTGTATGCTGATTATCATTTTTACTCATCGATTGGATGTTTGATTTCAATAGAATCAATAATACTTTGCATATGAAACACAGAACACAGCAATACCACTGACAATACTGACCAATCGCGTTGAATAAACAACAATTACACGTGAACGGACAATGCAAGTTTTACTTCCTATAATGATGATATTGATAGAGCTACGTACATAGTACAACAGAAGCAGAGTAGCCTTACTAATTCCATTCTTTAAATTTTCTTATATGTATCCAAAAACCCACCAGGTCAAATCACAACAAATATAATACAATGAAGCGCATTGAAGTGGTAAAATTTTCCTTTTGGACGAAAAGTTCTGAGTCATGTTTTGAACGTCAATTATAACATAACGACACGCCCATTTCTTTAGAAACGAGAAAGACATATTCATCGTAATGTTTTAGGACACAACACTTTCCGCCACAAGCAACATGAGTTACACTGAATGAGGAATTTCAGAATAAGAAAGAGCTATGTATAGAGTTCTCGCTTATGTAAAACACGCATTGCAACGAATTTGTACATAATTATGATTTAATCATGCTTATTGGAGTTAGCATAGCACATGTATCAGTCGAACACGTGCTTACTCGGTGTTTATGTAAACCGTCAATTTCATTGGATGTTATATTTATGAAAAACCTGTTCTACAGGTATTCGATTGAATCATTTGACCGATTTCTCCTTTCTAAAGAAATGGGCGTGTCTAAAGATAGCTCAAAACGTTCCATCCAAACAGAAAATTTTACCACTTCAATGCGTTTCATTGTACATGCTTTTTTGAGGACAGAAAACGAAACGGGCTTTGACTGACCACGTGTTGCTGGTGACTACAAATGCCATACTGGTAAACAACCCTTCAATGTGATTGGTCAGTATTATCAGGGGATTGTTGTATTCCGAGTTTCATATGCAAATTAGTATTGATTCCATTGATCCAATCGATGAGTAAAATGATAATCAGCACACAAAGTTTTAGCACGCTCCATCAAGCAAACTGTCACGCTGTTTGTAAAATGATAATAACTGTAAAGTTCATTGCAGACATTTACCTGAAACCTTGAAATAACCATATTGTTTTATGAATGAATAATTCCTAGCTCTCTGATTGGCTGGGATCAAACAGTGTTTTAATCATACTGTATAATCATGTTCACCTACACTAATTAGTCTTTCGTTGAAACCAGGAGTTCTCGTAAAATTTTACTGAAATTTTTAGTAAATTAAAAAAATACATCATACCTTAATAATAAAACTACTTTTGCTATTATCAAAGGTATATACGTATTTTTTTTATTTCCTAAAAAAAAAATCGCTAAAATTTATAGGTAGGCGAACTCTTGTGGTTGTAACAAGGTCAAACATCTAAACTGTTCGCACAAAAAATAAGAACTTCTAAATTGGTTGAATTTTAAACAACACAAGAAAAATGACAAGTTAAGATTCAATTTTTCACGTACTCGATATATGCTACGAGGGTTGATCCAAAAGTAATGTCACTGGGTCCATATCTTTAATATTTGGTGTCATTTTATCAAATATAATGCACCAAAAGTTGCATAAACATAAATCTAATCAAAACTGAAAATTTCATTTAATAATGATAAATTGAATCCATTTTATAGACGTTTAAAACATTAAACATAGGGGGTGTCGCCGCGTCATAACTAAACGTCACGTTTTAAAGTGTATATTGTTAAAATAAAAGAAGACAAAAACATTTAAAAAGCATCTAAAAAGCGTCTAATCGCCCAATATTTTAAAATACAAAATTTACGACAAGTTCTAGTCTTTAGTTAAAAATTCAATGGCGGCATTGTTTTTTTTTTTTCATCGTTGTTGTTTATATCTGATGTATTGCAGAAAGGAAATGTCGAAATTGAATAAAACGCCGAAACGAGTTGTAATGCGTTTTCCCTTCAAAATCGGGAAATCGCCAGTATAGAGACAGTTACAATAGTAAATCAGACTCGCGAGGAAAGGATGTTAACAAGAGACTTGTTCATAGATGGATTCGGAGATTTTGGGCAGGTCATGGGTAATTAAGTGATCAGCTGAGGACAGAAAGACCGAAAGATAGGAGGTCGGGTGGAAACGTTAAATGGCGTCGACGTTGTCAAAAAAGGGATTCGTGTCACGCGGTTTGAGTGATATGAGCAACTTTCAACTTTGTCTTATGGTACTGTTCAAAGAAATTGATGAAGGAATGAATTATAGATAGAGCGTACAATTGGTGCCAATAATTCTTAAAGAAAGAAAAATATGTGAATGCGTTTGTGAATATCATTTTTTTTTAAATGAAACGCTGGGAAAGCGTTTTTAAAAGTGTCTGACGGCGCATATCCGTCATTTGACGTTATTTAGGTGCGGCGACTACCATAATCGCACTTTGTTTATAATTCGATATTTTAAAAAGTATAAATCATCTTTATTTGAATTTTTGAAGACTGATTTGAAATAAATATAGCTTCCATCATGTATAATTTTGTTAATTTACGTCGACTAGGAGCAATTTTATCGAACTTGTGACATTACTTTTGGATCAACCCTCGTAGTGTTATATAAGCGCCGCTAGCCGCTAAGTTAGCACCGGTTTTATGAAAATCGGGCTATTTCATCAGAAAACGTTTCATGTCAACATAAATAAGTTGGATGCCAACATATTCACCTCGCATATCAATATAAATAAAGGTTCCATAAATAAATTGTACGCTAACATAAATAAGTTAAATGTCAGTATTAACAATTTGAATGTTAACATATATAAGCGGCATGCCAACGTAAATTGCAGGTAGCATTTGGGAGGTCACCTGTGAGCCATATTTGATAATTTTTTGAAAATTTCTAAGATCTTATGATGCTGCATGTTAACAGAATTCTATTGTTTGTCGAAATCTAATTTTCTATGTAGAAAAAAAAACGTGCATATGGGGACAGACATGCCGCTATAAATGATACATTTCAGTGGCGTAGCCAGGCCACTAATGATGTGGACGCAAGAGTAGGCAGGGGGTTTGGGGGCCTAATGTCCCCTATGGATCCGTGGTTAAACCCTGGTGAGGATCCACAGGTCGATCCCCCGACGCCTATTGAATTTAAATGAGCATATTCGACCCCCCTGATCGCAATTTTCTTAAACTTTTAAGTTTGCTATGCACCCATGTTTTCGAGGTCTGTTTTTTTTTGTAGGAAATATGGACAAACACTCTAAAATGAGAAAGGATATGCCCAATACATTGTATCGTTGTTTATGTAATATGAAGAGCCCACTTAAAGCAATTTTAGAATTTTGAAGAGACAAAATTAATCGGTTGGAGTGGTACATGTATATGAGAATGTAATGCACTTAGAGAAAAAAAATCAGCAATACGTAAACCAGATTCAAGGAAAATCTAATGATTTCAGAAATAGAGATGCTGACTACATGTACAGTATCATATTATCCTCTAAAACTGATTCTGTTAATTTCAGTTATTATTTATCATTTATTAAATTGTTTCTAAACATTTCCTTTATTTTTAAAATTATTTATTATTGCAAAATGATTTAAGAGCATAAAAATTTCGCCTGCCTCTCCCTCTCTCCTTTTTTCCCTAAAATGATGTGGACGTTTTTGCGTACAAACGTACGCCTGGCTACGCGCCTGCATTTAGTACAAAAAATAAATACGTGTGGCACGTTTCTGAGGGAAACAGTTGAAATTGACAACATTGTCAACGTTCACCGAAAACAAACGCGGTTGACAATGTTTTTCTCTCGGCATGTCAATTTCATACATTAATAAAAACATGCACTACATGTATATATATATGCAACGTTTACCTTCATTATGTTGTCTTTTCTGGAGTAACGTTTACACCATCATGATCTTCACAGTTCACCGATTTACCGATGACGTTTTGCTAACCCTAAGTAATAAACAAAGAATGACTGCACTTAAGCTATGAGAGTTGGATCCCAATGATTTGCGCAAAATAAAATTCCAAAATTCATTAAATTTATGTTTTATAGGTATTAAACAATATCTTAAGAGCAGGTTTTGGTTTATTATAATACATGAAAGTATTAAATAATGCCGAGCGACACTAGCTTTTGAAACAGGGGTCTAACAGTTTTGTCTCATTTCTATTGTTATTCATATGCATACCAGTTTTCAACGACATTGTTTACATCGAGCCGCAACTTGACCATTTTTCTCATTTGCACAGAATGTGTATTTTAACTAAAACTTATACATATCCGAAGGACAATGTGGGTCAAGTTGCGGCTCATATCTAATTTTTAAAAAAATGTACCCAAACTTCGCTCGAGATAGCTTCTAAATTAGCAGGTTACGAGTTTCAGCCCATGTGACCCCTTTGATATTATAATCACTTTTCTCACGTGACATTCAAGTGTTCGACACGCTTTCATTGTGTCAGTCGTTGGAAAATTCTTTTCATATCTACATGTATTTCCATCTTCAAAATATTGAAGATCCTTGCGTACATTTTATAAGCGTTTTAAAGTTTAAGTTGATTTCTTTCACAATAGTGTTTTTGTTCGGGGTATTTTAAAGGAAAAAGGTATTATTTTGCTGATTACATGCTGTACATATAGCAGTGGCGGATCCAGAAATTTGAAAACGGGAGCCCGACCAGTTTTAGGTCAGGGTAGAAGCCCACAGTCATCATTAAAAAAAACTTTTTATTTTTACGTTACTAATAAGTCCACAATTATTATTCAATACGATTAAGATAAAGTGAAAATGTCATTTTTTTTTTTTAATACACTGTAGGTACAAACACTTAATAATTTTAAGATTTAGTTAATTCGCTGCATGACAGCAAATAATACATGAGCAGTGAAATTTTAAGCATTCCAATTTTATAAGAACGTTAGATAGAGAAAATTATGCAGTGCTTGATAATGTAGAAGCCGAAATTCATTTTTTCAAATGCATTGTCCTTTGTACTCTGAATACCGATCAAAACTTTTTTTGAAAATTAACTCTGCCAATAATCAAATGGCAAGGTCATATATGGATTTACTGTGTGTACTTATTTCAGATTATCCTATAGACAGGTTGCAAATTATTTTTCATTTATGCGAAGACAGCCCATTATGTTCAGAAAATAAAATGTATTTCAGTGTCATTTTCATCGACCAATAATTCTCAAAACAGACACTACCAACCTAAGCGTACAAAACGCATGCATATATATTTATCACAATTGTGTTTATTTTTATAATTTTTTTTTCTCTTAATATTCTGCTCTTTACTTACTTACTCTACTTACATACGTGGATACAAATTAATGAAATTATATGCATGGTTATAAATCATTTATTTTTTGTACAAAATGAACACAAAACCCTCTTCTCGGTCTTTTTTTTAATATATCTATAATATAAATCAAATACGGAAAACCATGCGCTTATGATCCATTTCCATGCGATTTAAATGTCTCCGCCCCTTTGCTGCGACCTTAAAATCGAAAGCGGTCCAGTTCAATTTTCCGGAATTTATGGGTTAAACATGTTCTTTTCAATAGCGTTGTATGTAATTATTGAAATATGTATGACGAAAAATTATAGAAATAAATGTCAAAAGCAAATGCTTGCACATTAATCATAGATTAATTCAGCGATTTATTGTAATGTTAAGCTTCAAATGGGTAGCCGAAAAGGTTCCAAATAACGTCCTTAAGTGCAGTCATTCTTTTAAAAATAAGATATCGCGGAAGGGATAGAAATATTTTTTTTTAAAACACGCACTTTTCGAAGGAAGAGTCAACTACTTAACCCAGTCAAGCAATTAAGCTTGAAACTGTTGTTATCACCACATTTTGTGTATCACTTTATACTGGAAAGTAATGGAATGAAACACACTGGGACAACGAACAGCATAAAAGTCCATAAAACAATACAAAACAGGAGCAGAACCTCCAAAACATCAAAGTGGAATCAACTTGTTTACTTGTCAATAATTTACCTCGTTTTAGAAATTGTTCATACATAGAGCAAGCTCTTGCGTATCAAATCAACTGAGATATATAAACTCCGTACACAAGTGATATGAAGATACTAGTAAATTGCTGCACTAGTAAGGGAAGTTGACGATTGTAAAGTTAAAGTCATCACGTTTATCACAGAGAGTGCTTGTTAGATTACCATTAACATCCTTTTCAAGCAAAATATCCAAACATGAAACAGATGTTTCAGACACTGATATATTTAATAAGAATAATAAAATAGTAGTAGTATCGATAAAGGAATGGAAACCACCACTGTTTAATAGCAATACGTTGTCAATATATCTTGTTGAATCACAGCAAGTGTACGCTATGGTTCTATTTTAAAATTTAGTACATGTATCTACAGATAGCGTAAGTAAGATTTAGAACTCTAGCTTAGGATATGCATATTTTAATACCCGAACCACCCAAAATTATAGCATTATCGATACCATGGACTTCTGAATATATACACTAGTTGTTTAACCATTAAAGTTCATTTATATACTGATTTGTCTACGAATTTTTTCATTCACCCAGTCATGCCAATAAGAACACATGACGGATGTGACAGGTCGACTGGGGATACTTATTCCTCCACGGCACCTGATCCCACCTCTGAAGTAATCAGAGGTCCATTTTTGATTTGCTCCAGATAAGTATTGTTTAAATGAACTTTTAGCTTGATAATGTTCGTTATTCCATATTTCTTGATACCAGAAATAAACAGCTCCATTTCGTTTGGAACAAGAAACATGTACAACAACAAGACACTTTATCATCATGCTTTACACCCCTCACCAACTCTATCAATCTAATTTTAAAGTAAAACGAAACATATGGAGAAAACGAACAGTATTTCAGATCAAAAGTCCATAAAACAATTATACAAAACAGGAGTAGAGCAGACACGGACCTCCGAAACATTGGAGGTGAGATCAGGTACCATGGAGGAGTGAGCATCCCCTGTTGACCGGTCACACCCGCAGTGCTCCTTGTCATTACTGGGAAATAATGGAAAATTCCGTCGTCAATTCAGTGCATAATTAATGGACTAACAATTAGTATGAAAAACGTCAGTCAGCATTTGACTTAATGATTAATTGTTTTTGCTGACAAGGTCATTGTTTCGACCATTGAACTTACGAAATGATGACTTTAAACGAAACAGCTGAAATTACATGTATTGTTTCATCAACTTGTTTGTCAATAATTTTCCTCGTTTTAGAAATTGTACATACGTAAAACTCTTGCGTATCAAATCAACTGAGATATATACAAACTCCGTATGGAGGTGATAAAGGTATACTAGAATTGCTGCATAAGTAAGGAAAGTTGACGTTAGAAAAATTAAAGTCATCACGTTTATCATAGAGCTTGATTGTACTTTGGCCTTTTCGATCATCTACTTTACGCCTCCGTACAAGAAGCACTAAGTGAAAAATCAAAATGCAACTCCGCACGTGTTTGCTCTGCCCCCAGTTTGTATAATTTCAATGGACTTTTCAGTTTGATACCAGTAATTGTGCATATTGGTTATTTAATTAGAATGTATACCTCCTTTGTCTCTATTTTCATACTATCTTCATTAGATGCTCCGAAGTCAAATTTCACCTATCATGCAAAAAGAATAGGCAACTTATAACTAGGTATTTTAATATCTATTTAATGTAAAAGGTTACTCAGTATCTTGAAATATCTTTTTTAAAAAAAAAAAGCTTATTAACTTTTACAAGTAATTAGATCCACATTTATATTAAACAATAATGAAATCTTACCGATTTCCCTGAAATACATCTTAACCAAAGCACACACAAAAGAACACGCCTTAAAAATCCTAAATATGCTCGAAAGCTACACAGCAGCAAAATTACAAACGAGCCTGTCATCACAGTCATCAGGCGAACATAAACAACATCTTCCTGTAGAGTGACATCCCAGAGCTGGCCATAATCCTCACAACAACTGGGG